CCGGTGCCCCGGACGCACCGGCCGCAGGTCCGGGCTGCGCGCAGGCGGCGGGCGGGTCGAGTCATTCATTCAGCCCGGCTTGCGCGGTCTCATTCGCTCTCCGGCTCTCCCCGTCTTTCCCTGTCCTCCCTCCCTTCGTGGAGTCTCCGTCCCTCTCTCTGGCTGTCTGGATCTCTCCCTCCTACACTTCCTCCTCATCCTCTTTCACTTTCCGCTCACTGCCTCTGGCCCCAACGCCCTGGTTTGCTGTATGGATGGAGTCAACGCACACTTCTCGGGCTCCTGGGCACTTGGAGTGGAGCCGCACATCAAACGGGACCCGAGCCTCCCGGGGCACTCCTCCATTCAGTACGAATAATGACGGGCAGCCTCCGTGCCCGGCCTGTGCTCCGCGCTGAGCAGGGAGTCAGTCTAGACAGCAACGCCCAAGGCCTCACGGGTGTAAATCCGCAATCGCCACCCGGCAAGGGGTGGGTGGGAAAGCACAGGGCAGGACGAGTGGACGGGAGACCTCATAATGTGGGGACAGAGGCACCGGGGAGGCCCCCGGAGAAGCGCGGATGGAGCCCAGGCCTGTGGGAGACGAAGCTAACAGTGGCCGTGGGATGTGCCAGGGCTCCAGGAGAACCAGGCGCAGGTGGGCTCTGGGCGCGCGGAGTGGGCCGGCCTGCCCCCATCCATCTGTCCCAGACCCACCTCTTCCCCCTTCCGGAATCCATCCCTGTTACAGCTCAGAATCTGCCTCATTTCTTTCTGTCCCAGAACCCATCTGGTCCCTGACCTAAGAACTGTCTTCTCTTGTGATGTCCCAGACCCCACCTCACCGCTGTCCCAGAACCCTCCTCTACCATGTCCCAGACACTCCCCCTGCCTGTCTCGTCCCCACCTCTACCACGTCCCAGAACCCACCCCTACCATGTCTCATCCCCTCCACCATGCCCCAGACCCCATCTCACCCCAGTCCCAGAACCACCCCTACCATGTCCCAGATCCCACCCTTACTATGTCCCATATCCTGTCCTACCATGTCTCAGACCCTGCCCCTGCCTCGTCCCATATCCCATACCTACCATGTCCCCAAACCCACACCTACCATGTCCCAGACCTCCACTCTGTCCCAGACTCCTCCTCTTCTGTGGTTTATAATCTGCCCGTCTCTGTCATTTCTCCCCTTTTCTCAACTTCAAAGGAAGAAGACCTTTTTTTTTTTTTTTTTTTTTTTTCTTATGATGCTAAAATCAACCCAAACACACGCACTGGGAAACTGAAATGCACTGAGATTGGCTTAAAGAATGGGTAATCAGTGCAGACGTCCGGTTTAGAAACACTACAGAGGATGGTTCTCTTCGCTGTCGGCCTGTGCAAGGGTGAACCTGGGAGGCTGTCGGCCTGTGCGTGGGTGAGCCTGGGAGGCTGTCGGCCTGTATGAGGGTGAGCCTGGGAGGTGTGGAGAAGGCAGGGGCCCTTTGACTTGTCTCACATTCAGAAAGTTGCTAAATTTTAGACTTCTTGGGCCAGTCCCATAGCCTGGCAGTTAATGGAGCCAGCTCTCACATGGCCAACCACGGTTCAAATCCTGGCCCAGGGCAGCTTGAAAAACACACTTAGACATATGAGCTTACTTGCCCCAAGTCCTGACAGGATGGGGACTTGGAAGAGAAGGGATTACAGTGTAACCACACCCCATTGGAGGGTGCTTGCTTTCTCTCTTCGGTGAGTCTAGCAATTAAAATGAGACTTCTCCAAAGACACTTATACATTCAGTCGCAGTGTTCCCCAGCGGGATTGAAAAGGAAGATATTTTTCATGTAATTGTAAGTGTGTGTTCTGTTCCTGGGCCACACCATCTATAGTACATTATGAATTAATATGGTCTACGAAGCCTGTAATTATCTTTGACCCGTGCAGTTCTATGGCTCTGCATTTGTGAAGGATATTTACTTGTGTAGTAGCAATGTGACCCCCACACACAGTATTGCTAACCCTGCTTGCCATTTCTTTATCTGTTTTCATTTGTTGAGAGTCTCAGAAAATAGAAATGACCAGGGCCTCTGTCAGCCTCTGGGAGACCCTAGAAGGTGAATTGTGCCAGAAGAGACTCTCCAGGCCTTCCCGAGGGGACCGTGGGTGAGAGTTCCCGACGAATTGTTGCCGTGTTAATGGAGGAGTTGAGATGAGGACTGAGTGCGTCTAAATTGCCTGCCTCCAGCTTGCCTGCCACCTGCGTCCTCCCCCTCTCACTGTCTTCCCGAGGGCGGTCATTCCCGACCCACTCTGAGTCTGCGCACCCTATCATTACACCATCGCACATGCTTGTGGGTCCACCCAACTGCCTCCCTCCTACAGACGGAGTCACTGGGGACCAGGGGAAACACGGGATCCACCAAGGTCACGGGAGTCAGGAGAGAATGTGTAGGCTCTTGAGAAAGTGCTTAATTTATGCATCAAAGAAACTGGTATATGGGGCCAGCCAGTGTGCAGTGGTGACGGCACCGGACTCCCTCATGGCCAGCTACATGGTTCAAGCACCAGACCCGGCAACTTAAAAATGACACCTGGCCTTTGTGTGTGCATACCCAAAATGCTGAGAGGAGAATGGAGGGGAAGAGATTGAGGCATGGCTCTCTCCCCTGGGGGGTGCTTTCTCACTTTCCCTCTCTCCCTCTCTCTCTGGTGAGCACAAGTGCCCTATAGCAGAAAACTAAAAACAAAACAAAACAAAACAAACAAACCAAAAACAAGAAACAACAACAAAAAAACCTATCAGGGCGAGAAAATACTAGAGGAACACACTGTGGGCCAGCCAGTGGTGTGGTTAAGAAGGCTGGGTCCCACACGGCCAGCTGTGTGGTTCGAGTTCAGGACCTGGTGGCTTAAAACCATGATGGACACCTGTATGTGCATGTCCGAATCCTGAGAGGAGAATGGAGGAGAAGGGATTACAGCGTGACCATCCCCCGGTGGGATGCCTTTTTTCACTTCTTCTCCTTCTGTTCATCCCCCGGTGGGATGCCTTTTTTCACTTCTCCTCCTTCTGTTTCTCTCTAGTGAGTGCACGCGTCCTATAGCAAATTAAAACACACACACACACACACACACACACACGCGCGCGCACACACACACACACACACACACACATTCTCCTATTTAAAACTTAAATAGTACACGTTTGTTGTTTTAGTCCATTTTTCTGTTGCTGACAATGGAATTCCACACACTGATTTTAAATATAGAGATTTTTTTTCAGCTCATGATTTTGGAGGCCCAAGATCAAGAGGTTGCATCTGGTGAGGGTCTTCTTGCTGGTGGGGACTCTCTGCAGGGCCTGAGGGCCTCACACAGTGTGTGTGTGTGTGTGTGTGTTCTGTGTGTGTGCGAGAGAGAGAGAGAGAGAGAGAGAGAGAGGGAGAGAGAATGTGCCCTATGGCAAATTAAACATAATAACAATAATAATAATAATAATAATAATAGGGGCTGGCAGGTGACGTGGGGGTTAAAGGCACTGGACTCCCACATGGCTGACTGCGGTTCCAGTCCCAGACCTGGAGGCTGACTTTCTCACTTTGTCTCTTTCTCTCTCTTGCTCTGACTCTGTCCCTCTCTGCTCAAACTTAGATAAATAAGTAAATACAATTAAACTTTAAAAATATTTAATTAATTATCTTTTAAAAAATTGAGTAGTACGTACATACATATTTGTCCTACTTTTTTCTCAATGAATGTTTGAGGTATTACAGTTGTAAATTATAACAATGCAATTTGACTAGGCCCAATGAACTGTTTTTTGAAAATTTGAATTGCGAGTTTCCAATAGGACTGGAGCTATTTGGGGAAACACTGAGAATAGCTGTTTCAGCTTTGAGCTTCCTGGTAGCCTGTGCAAGAAGGGAGAGAATGTGGGGTGATAAGGACATGCCCAGATTTCCCATTTGCTTCCCTCTGTGCAGCTCACCCTTGGCCTCCTGTTTTTTGGGGGGGAGGGCTAAAATATTCAAGGACTAAAAGAAGTTTATGACTCTTGGCTCTAGACTATCTGAAGTAAAAATTAGGAAGCTTGGGGCCAGTGGGTGGCATGATGGTTAGGGCACTAGACTGCCACATGTCTGACCTAGTTCGAGTCCTGGATCTGCAGCTTGCTTTCCCCCTTCCCCCACAAACCTGTCTCTCTCCAGTTAGTGCACGTGCCATATATATAGCAAATTAAAATCATAATATTAAAAATGAAATATTTCTAAAAAAAGTTGGGATACTTTGGTCAGGAAATATCAAGAGAAACCCGAGTGAGGCAAGAAGTT